ATATATATATATATATATATATATATATGTGTGTGTGTGTGTGTGTGTGGTCTGAAGAGACATAAAAAAAATTAATTTTAAACATAACCTATTGTGCATATGAAAGAAATATTGTTTCTCATTATTTAATGATTAATTGTTAAGATTTTACCTTTTCATACTTCCTTTTTCACATTTTTTTTTTCCTATCTTCTTTTTTGTGTTCCATCATATTTCTCATTTTCTCTCACCCCCGTAAAACAGTTATTAAAAAACCCTTGCTGTAATTGTTAAGATGCTCTATGGAGTTTTTTGTTTCCAGGGCTCATTGTTATTGTTGGTTAATTGAATGCTAATTAGACGGTAGATCAAAATGATAATGTATAGATCAACCGCATCTATGAGACAGAAAAGTGATTATTGATATCGTGGATGAATGAAAACCTGTGGAGAATAATAAAATTGAATGATCATTAACAAAATAATAGGAGGATAAAGCACATGCATGAGACTACCTGAAAAGAAAACATGTAACAGTAGCAAAGATTAATCAATATTAGCCATTTCATCGTTCGAAAGAATCTAGCTGGCTATTCAACAACTCTTTTAATTTATGCATATTTCCTTACCTTCTACTTTTCACATCGATTATGAAACCTCACAATTCTCTTACTCATTCAATTTAAAGGATTTTTTTTTTACGTTGAAAAAAAAATAAAAATGATAACCTGCTTTCTATTATTTTAAAATTTTGTGGCCAACATCTGATCTTCCTTGAATGAATAAAAGCGTTTTTTTTTCTAGTTAAAGATTTTTTTACTTTATAATGTTGCTCTAAAAATAATTCATAAAAAAATATGTAAAGTGTAAAATAAGAGTTAAATTTTAATAAGCAAAAATATCAATATATATTTTATAATAAATATTTGCATCGTGATTTCAAGTGTTCTAATGACACTACTCTAGACCCCTTTCAGAGGATCAAGAATCTTTTGATCCTATACAACCTCTATACAGCCACATGATGTTTAACACAATCCGTTAGCAATACATTATGAAAATCATAGGATAATCCGTTAACAGTAAACAATGGAAATCATAAGATTCAGCCAGAGACATTGCACAAATACTGAAGGGAAATGTTACATTGGTAATTATGACGTGCACATTAATATTTCTTTTATAGGTGTTCAACTTTTAACTGTTTGATCATTTTGAAAACAAGTTTCTACTTAGAATTCTTATCCTTATTCACTTACTAAGAATAAGAAATGATTAGATTTGAGCCAACCGCCACCCACCGTTCAAAAGACAGGTATATAATATAACGTTCAGCTAGGATGCCCAATGCTTCTGTTTGAAGCGTTTGTTTCGTCAGAGGCTAAAAAACGACATTAGCACTCCAGAAAAGCATCATATCAAGTGCAGCCAGCCATTCTCTAGTCCGCAAGTTTTGCAATTGGATTGATAAATGTCACTTTCTGTTTGTAATATGTTGAAGAAAGAAACTACCCCTCCAATTGGCAATTAAATGGCCATAAGATGCAGTACTCATTAATGCCATTTGGCCATAGCTAACAACGAATCATCGGCCAGATAACCCCCCCGCCCCCTCCATCATTAGCCATTTAACCATTAAAATGACATTCTAACCACCACCATGACTACTAAGAACAACACAGCTTGACAGGTGTATAATGTATTGTATATTTATGATATATGCCACTTTCCTTTCGCGAATTACATCATTGAACGTTCCACCGGCACTCAGTATAAAAAATGAACTGTGAAGCATTTAGGCATCCCGGCTTCCATGAGGTACATTTTCAAATATGCTTCTGTTGATGCCATGTTTAAAACCTAGCTTCATCAAACATGCATTGTTAAGCCCAGGCTTCCAATTCTATTATTAGACATGTTTCAATTCAGTTTTCTGTTCATTCTGGATTGGGGTATTTTCATTTTAAACTTTTTATAAACTTATGACCCAATAGGGCAGCTTTCCCATTTCAGCACCTAGAAGCAGACTAGAGTTATACAGCCAATTGCCATCAAGTTTAAAATCATACGTTTAAACGTTTATTATTACAAGACTAACCATGCAAATCAAAATCCAGTGCATGTGCCATTTCATGGGTAAAAAACAGGGGAATCAAACATAGAAAACCAAAGAAATGTTCAAAATGAAAATAACTTCCGGATCTCAAAGCTTCCAACTATTACGAATCAATGCTGCGGGGTGTCTGAACGAACAGCTGAAAAAAGAAAATTGAACACTTTCATCAGAGTACATCAAATACAAAACTTTGAACATGATGTTAGCTGCCAAACATTGAGAAATGAGTAACAAAAAAATGCCACAGTGGTGAACAAGCAAAAATATATCCACCCTCTTTTTAAACAAAAAAGAGGATCCAACGGTGAAATTATTCTCAATCAATCAATCCTCATCTAATGCAACATTTTAGACCAATAAATTTGTTCTGCAGCAAACGATAAGGCGAAAGCATTCTCCATTAATCTACATAAAGTAATAAACCTTGTTACAACAAGGTAGTAACTTGCAGTAGACAATGTCAAGAGCAATGTACATACATACAAAATGGAACCCAAGGTTGGTACATACATACATACATACATACACAGAATTAAGAATAAACAAAATCAGTAACAAAAATTAGAGAACCATGTAAATATTTGATCTCAATTAAAAACATATAAACAAATAACAAAAGAATAGAAATGGAACATGTTAAGGGAAGGGAGTAGTTGATCTGGAAACTCCGCATACTACGGGTACGATCCTCCCATAACAGAAAGTGAAACTGGCAAGCCCTATCAAAATTCGCGATGCCGAATTTAGGGTTATACATTTGGGCGAAGGACGATTTAATAATCTGAAAAGGAATTGAACGTAGGAATAATAATTGAATCCGTGAAAGGGTAGGAAGAGGAGAAGAGAAGCATACTAGGTTTTTCAGGTTTTCCGTCGACCCATTTGGAGAGAGAGAAATGAACCTTCTCGCGAGAGAGGGCTTCGGCCTTATGAGGTTCCTTGAGGCAATTCCTGACGAGATTCGCACATATGTTTGAGTATGTAATGTAGGTCATTCCCGCTGCCCTCCAAAACGGCACCGCTCCGCTCGACGCCATCTCCACTCTTTCTTCTTTCCTAACCAATGCTCTTTTTTGCTCTTCTCTATGCGTCTATTACAATCACAAATACAATCACACTGCTATGCTATACCATATGGACTATCCTCATCCTCTAAGCCCAATTACTCCTTAGGCCCACTTACCTTTTTCTCATCCTGTAATTTAAAATATAATTACAATATTTTTCACAACTAATCTAAGCATATGCTTATTAACTTTAACTGACCAGCATAAATTCTAGCATTGAAAAAAAATATATTAACATGGTGTTCTCTAAAATATTATATATATATATTTTATTAAACAATGAAATTTAAATAAATTATAAATTTGACTAAAGTTTATTGTCTACGCAACAACTTTCATATAAAATTTATTTAGTGATATAAAATAAGGAGGAAAATAACGTGCACCTCAACTTTTATACCTATTTTACACTCTTTTTATCTTTCTTTTCTTTTTACTATATTTATCATTTTGTCTCTCATAATTTCTTATTGTTCTTTTCTTGAGGAATGTTTAGGTAAAGTTCTTCTATTACTGGTAAGAGAAAAATATTAAAAAAAAATAAAATTAGTTTTTTCATAGTTTAAAATTAGTTTATGTACAAACTAATTTGAAGAGACTTTCTCCTATTGATTTTTCTAAAATTTTATTTTTAATTTATATATAAATTAGTTTTAATTTATAAAAAGTTTAATTGTTCTTTTCTTTTCAGAAAGTGTTTCTACATAAAATTTATGTAAAGAAACTGCTACTTGAAATGTATACGCTGGTGGACTATCAAATGGTCATTATAATTCTTCACCAATAGAGTTGAATGAATTCCATCTGACCCATGGTAGCAGTGGAGAGTTAGACAATTTTTTTTTGTTTGTTTGTTGACGGTCTTGTTTGTTTTGTTTAATGTTTAGTTTATAGATGCAGTAACTTGTTCACTGGTCATGGCCACATGGATTACTTCTTGGTTCTTCAACATGAGTAGACTAACCCATCTTGGTAATTTCAAACTCCTCGCCAACTCCAATAAAGAAAGAAAGACAAACAAAAGAACCCCACGCTCACTTCCACACACACTTGTGCTTCTCTTAACCTTTTTGCCTTCTCTTGCTGCATTCAGAGCACAATATGGCTTGTACTTCGCTACTCATAGGATTCTAAACCGGTGGATCTGACGCGACACAACACAACTCATGATATGAGTTTGTGACTCTTTCCTTCCTTAAACTGTTGTTTCTAAAACTTGAAGCCCGAAAATCCAAAATGGTTTTTCAACTTCTTCTCACTAATGGCCATAGGGTGTGCTAACACTTGAGTTGTGAGTGTTGGTGGTTTTGAAAAATAGGCTCGTGTTGTTTGTGTTGAAATGGGTTCAAGTCGAAGCATAGATTTTTCAAAGTGGTGGGGTGTTAAGGAGAGTTCGAGTTCTAGTTCAAGGAAAGGGAACCCGGTTGTGGTGACTATGGAGAACCCCAATTACTCTGTGCTTGAAATAGATGCTCCTGACTCAGCATTTCAGCCACTTGACAAAGACAGAGGTAAAAATGCACAGCAGTTCACATGGCTTCTGTTTCTCAAGGCTCATAGAGTTGTCGGTTGCCTTGCTTGGCTTGGTAATTCCCTTTGTTCATTGCTCCATGCTGCTAAGAAAAGATTGTTTTTGGGGCACGTGGAGACGGAGATGTCTGCCAAGGCAAAGTTTCTGTTCCGTGTAATTCTTGCATTCTTGGTGATGGCTTTGGCATTTTTGTCTTTTGAACTCGTTGCTCACTTCAAAGGGTGGCACTACTTTCACCACCATAATTTGCACCTTCCACAAACTTTGGAGATCAAAGGGTGGTTTCACACTGCATATGTTAGGTGGTTGGAGTTTCGATCAGACTATATTGCTCCTCCAATTCAATCTCTCTCATCCTTCTGTATTCTTCTCTTCTTAATTCAGTCTGTGGATCGAATGCTTCTCTCTCTAGGTTGCTTTTGGATCAAATTCAAGAAGATTAAGCCCGTCATTGATGGAGATCCCCTCAACTCACATGATTTGGAAGGATCCAACGAGGAATATCCTATGGTACTTGTTCAAATTCCCATGTGCAATGAGAAAGAGGTGACACTCTTATCTTAATCCTGTGTAGTTAGTACGTGTTGCTTTTTATTTAAAACCAAAAATATATGTCGGTGGTGGTAATCAATCAATCATTAAGTGGTTCTTTTGAACATATTATGATGATGATGGTAATTCGCCCCACCTTAATTTTTCTTCACTTGCTCTTATCATAAAGTATGCTATGTTGAATTATAATAATAATAATAATAATAATAATAATGTCCCTCTTTCATTATTTATCTCAAAGGCAGTAACTAACTAGAGTAGCTGTGATGCCTTGCCACTGGGATAGTGTTGATTTTATGGAATATGGATTATTACTCTTCCCAATAGTGATGTTGATAAGTTTGTCATTAAGTGTAGGTATATGAACAATCTATTTCCGCAGTGAGCCAACTTGATTGGCCAAAAGATCGGTTGCTTATTCAAGTTCTGGATGACTCTGATGATGAGAGCATACAGTGGTTAATCAAGGGAGAAGTCTCTAAGTGGAGTCAAAGAGGTGTCAACATAATCTACCGTCATAGGATGTTTAGAACTGGCTACAAAGCGGGTAATCTAAAGTCTGCAATGAGCTGTGATTACGTGAAAGATTACGAGTTCGTTGCAATTTTTGATGCTGATTTCCAACCAAATCCAGATTTTCTTAAGCAAACTGTTCCACACTTTAAGGTGACTAAATTTTTTCTTTTCTTCCTTGTTATTGCATATTCTATCCTTTAGTTTCCCTTTTACATTCTTGAGTCTGCATTGCAGGGCAATCCTCAGCTGGCATTAGTCCAAGCTAGGTGGGCTTTTGTAAACAAGGATGAGAACTTACTGACAAGACTCCAAAATATTAATCTGTGCTTCCACTTTGAGGTTGAACAGCAGGTTAATGGGGTCTTCCTTAACTTCTTTGGTTTTAATGGAACTGCTGGTGTTTGGAGAATAAAAGCACTTGAAGAATCTGGTGGCTGGCTTGAGCGAACAACTGTAGAAGACATGGATATAGCAGTCCGAGCCCATCTGAATGGTTGGAAATTTATCTTTCTCAATGATGTAAAGGTAACTGTTCTGTTACTCAGAAGACATGTTTTGTTTTGTTTGTTTTTTGGGTTTTAATGAAAGCTAATGCCCTAAGAATATATTAATTTCTATGTGCCTGCAACTGATAATAATATATAGTGATTTGGAAAAGTAGGATGAACTTGAACTGGGTGGGGTGAAGTAATAATCTGCAGTAATTGAAAGACGTTTCACTAAATTTTGGGATGTAATACTTGTGAAAAAGAACTGTTGACGTGTACAATTTAGGTTGCAGTTAGTCTAAATAATCTTCTTTCAGGTGCTTTGTGAGCTTCCTGAATCATATGAAGCTTATAGGAAACAGCAACATCGATGGCATTCTGGTCCTATGCAACTCTTTCGTTTGTGCCTTCCAGCCATAATAACCTCCAAGGTGAAGTATTTTCTTTTATTGTCTGTGCACTACTTTGATGAAAAACACAATCTAAACAACATGTTCTGATGTCATATTGTTGCAGATTGCCTTCTGGAAGAAAACAAACCTAATATTTCTATTCTTTCTGCTTAGAAAGCTAATCCTCCCATTCTATTCTTTCACATTATTCTGCATTATTCTTCCTTTGACAATGTTTGTCCCAGAAGCTGAGCTTCCTATCTGGGTTATTTGTTATATTCCTGTATTCATGTCGTTCTTGAACATTCTTCCTGCCCCAAAATCCTTTCCCTTCATTGTACCTTACCTACTATTTGAGAACACAATGTCAGTAACCAAATTCAACGCCATGGTATCCGGTTTGTTCCAATTAGGAAGTTCATATGAATGGATAGTTACGAAGAAAGCAGGTCGGTCATCAGAGGCTGACCTATTAGCTGCTGAAGAATGGGATTCAAAGGCCATGAGTCTCCAACTTAACAGAGGGACTTCTGATAGTGGACTTGCTGAGCTTAACAAAATAAAGGAAAGCCAAGAAACAGTTCCTGTAAAGAAAACGAACAAGATATATAAGAAAGAACTTGCCCTTGCATTCTTATTGCTGACTGCTGCAGTTAGGAGCCTGTTATCAGCACAAGGCATGCACTTTTACTATTTATTGTTTCAAGGTGTGTCATTCCTCCTTGTGGGTCTGGATTTAATTGGCGAACAAATGAACTAGAGGATCAGAAAGATGTGTAAAATACAAATTTGATTGTTACAAAGTTGAATAATGAAAGAAGCCAACCAATATGAATTGCTTTAAGATAGTTGGTTTGGCAGTTATATTCAAGTTGTCTGAATATGGCTCGGGTAACATGCTGAAGTGAAAGCTACCCTGGGTCATATCATAAATAAGTGTTATTCTTCAAGTGCATTTATAGATTTTTTTTTTCCTGGCTTTACTTGTCCATGTATTGTTGTCCATCACTGTACAACCATTTTTCTTTCCCTTTTCAATTTTCTGTGACGTTGAGCTGATTCATTTTGTGTCTGTATAATCTGCCATCATGTTGCTTGCATCACTTTTACTTCATACATATGTATTGAATGACACTGATATGTTACAACTGCCTAAAAATTCTACTCACTTTAGATGTGAAGGTTAATATTTTTCTGGATCTAAATTTCACTTCACGACACTATGTTTTAAGCCTAAGCTTGCAATATATTCATGCTATTAAGGTATATTTCTCATTTTGGATTTACTCTATGCTCTGGTAAAAGGGTATGTATATCATGTTTAATTTGGTGACTTAAAACGTTTAAATCAGTTTAGAATGGTAAAAGAAAAGAAAATAGTGTCGGCAGGCAGTGAAGATTGGGGAGAAAGAAAGCATTAAGCAGTATATAGTATCATGCTGACGGAGAATTGGTTCATTAATACGCATTTTGGATTTGCTGATAGATGAGAAATGTGCGTGTCCCACATGGGACCTATTTGTTTTAATTCAAGCTTTAAGCATAACCAAAGATATTTTAGGGCATATACGAGTCCCACATTTGACTCATGCCAATCGCATTTTCAATAATTGTAGGGCACATGTGCACATACCTCTCAAGCTAGGATGGTGGACCCTGCTGCCTCAACAAAGCATAATCTCTTCTGCTTTTGAAATACTCAAGTCCTCAATCCATCATAACGAACACACTCTTTTTTTAGCACTTTACTAAGAGATTATAGCCAAAATTTTACACGAATTTAAAAGAGCAAATCTTTCCTATCAAAATTTTAAATTGTCCCATGGGTTTACATGATCTGGCCACTACCAACTAACAATGAGTGTACTTTTACTTTTATGGAGGAACATAAAATGTCCATTTCAAATTTGTGTTCTTGTCATTCCATTTTTTTTATCTTAATCTTATCTAGAAAGAAATTATTAAATGTTCCAAGATTATTAAAATTTTCATTAATGTTCACATAACACAAAATCAAGCATTATTCATTTTTTTGTTAATTAAAAAATTTAAATACTTGTCATATAATTTATTTTTTTATGTTGCATAAATGTTAGTCGAGATCATGTTTAAATGATGGTTTTGTACTAAAAAAAAAAAAACATAATTCCTAACTATATTCTATAAGACGTTTTTGTTGAAAGAACAAAGGAAAAAATAATTATCAAAAGTTTTTGTTGCACCATCTTTTTTTCCATGTAAATAATTCTTTCCTGGTCTGAGTTTAATGCTGTTTATAATATGCAAATCTATTTTTGGTCTTTCGTGAATGTGGAAATGTAAGCATTACTATCAGGTGAAGATGCACTGTAATTCTTTATTTTTCTTATTCCGAACAAGGAGCCAAAGAGAACAAAAATGGTTGAATAAATTTTAATAATATAATATGCTTTTTTAAAAGTATTTTAGTAAAATAAACGATGAGATAATGACACATTGTGCTTATTTTTTATTTTAATTTGTGAAGTCGAGAAATTTCATATTTCTATTAAAAATAAAAAAAATTAAATTAAATAATAAAATTGAAAATATGTTACTCTAATTTGTGTTATTGTTATCATTGAATTTTAAGATTTTGGGTTTAAATCTCGTTAAATTATGGATTTGATATA